CATTTATCACATGTATGACATTTATCACATGTGTGACATTTATCACGTGTGACGTTTATCAACATGTGTGACATTTATCACATGTATGACATTTATCAACATGTGTGACATTTATCACATGTGTGATATTTATCACATGTGTGATATTTATCACATGTATGACATTTATCACATGTGTGACATTTATCACATGTGTGACATTTATCAACATGTGTGACATTTATCAACATGTATGACATTTATCACATGTATGACATTTATCACATGTGTAACATTTATCACATGTGTGACATTTATCAACATGTGTGACATTTATCACATGTGTGACATTTATCACATGTGTGACATTTATCACATGTATAACATTTATCACATGTATGAAATTTATCACATGTGTGACATTTATCACATGTGTGACATTTATCACATGTGTGACATTTATCACATGTGTGACATTTATCACATGTATAACATTTATCACATGTATGACATTTATCACATGTGTGACATTTATCGACATGTGTGACATTTATCAACATGTGTGACATTTATCAACATGTGTGACATTTATCACATGTATGACATTTATCACATGTGTGACATTTATCACATGTATGACATTTATCACATGTATGACATTTATCACATGTGTGACATTTATCGACATGTGTAACATTTATCACATGTGTGACATTTATCACATGTATGACATTTATCACATGTGTGACATTTATCACATGTGTGACATTTATCACATGTATGACATTTATCACATGTATGACATTTATCACATGTGTGACATTTATCACATGTGTGACATTTATCACATGTATGACATTTATCACATGTATGACATTTATCACATGTATGACATTTATCACATGTGTGACATTTATCGACATGTGTGACATTTATCACATGTGTGACATTTATCACATGTATGACATTTATCACATGTATGACATTTATCACATGTGTGACATTTATCAACATGTGTGACATTTATCGACATGTGTGACATTTATCGACATGTGTGACATTTATCACATGTATGACATTTATCAACATGTGTAACATTTATCACATGTGTGACATTTATCAACATGTGTGACATTTATCACATGTATGACATTTATCACATGTGTGACATTTATCACATGTGTGACATTTATCGACATGTGTGACATTTATCGACATGTGTGACATTTATCACATGTATGACATTTATCAACATGTGTAACATTTATCACATGTGTGACATTTATCACATGTGTGACATTTATCACATGTGTGACATTTATCAACATGTATGACATTTATCAACATGTGTTTTAACTGTGATTCTGGTGATTTAGGGAAATACAAGAATAAACTGTATTATATATATATATATATATATATATAACATATTCAACAAGAATTATTTCACTTCTAAAACATAAAACGGGTTAGAGTTATAAAATAATATATAATATAATAAAATAGGAAATAATGATTGTGTATCTGTTGTGATAGTGATTGTGTATCTGTTGTGTAGTGATTGTGTATCTGTTGTGATAGTGATTGTGTATCTGCTGTGTAGTGATTGTGTATCTGTTGTGATAGTGATTGTGTATCTGTTGTGATAGTGATTGTGTATCTGTTGTGATAGTGATTGTGTATCTGTTGTGATAGTGATTGTGTATCTGTTGTACTGAATGTGGCGTCCCCACAAAGCACAGAAACCATAGTGTGTGTGTGGCTCTGGTTTCCCCCTCTCCGTCCTGGGACACCTGTCGCCCGCCGTCAGCCTGGACCCCAACCCTCCCCCAACACTCCCAACACTCCCTGTCCAGCTCAGACCGGAGCTCACAGGGACTGTTCGGACCGAAGACCTGGACTTTTCCTCATTACCGTGGTTTGGACTGAAGACCTGAGACCTAAAGACCTGAAGACCTGAAGACCTGGAGACCTGGAGACCTGAAGACCTGAAGACCTGGAGACCTGGAGACCTGAGACCTGAAGACCTGAGACCTGGATACCTGAAGACCTGGAGACCTGGAGACCTGAGACCTGAAGACCTGGAGACCTGAAGACCTGAAGACCTGGAGACCTGAGACCTGAAACCTGAAGACCTGGAGACCTGAAACCTGAAGACCTGGAGACCTGAGACCTGGAGACCTGAGACCTGAGACCTGAAGACCTGAGACCTGAAGACCTGGAGACCTGAGACCTGGAGACCTGAGACCTGAAACCTGAAGACCTGGAGACCTGAGACCTGGAGACCTGAGACCTGAAGACCTGAGACCTGAAGACCTGGAGACCTGAGACCTCCGCTGCTGATCTGAGGTAAAATATTATGTTCAGAAGTGTGGAGGCCAGTTTATCTGTATGGCACAGTCCAAACACAAGTAAGTAAGTAAGTAGTAAGTAAGCTTTATTTATATACCGTCTTTCACAGACCAGAGTCTCAAAGCGGTTTACAATTGTTATTTTTTGGGCATTTGTCTCTCACTCCACACAGAGATGGGAGCGGGGCCAGTACAGGAGGCGCATGCCAGAACTATTGTACATATTTTTAGTGGTAGGGGAAACCGGAGTACCCGGAGGAAACCTACGCAGACACGGGGAGAACATGCAAACTCCACTCAGAAAGGCCCTGGTCCGGCCGGGATTCGAACCCAGGACCTTCTTGCTGAGAGGCGAGAGTGCTATCCACTCAGCCACCGTGCTCCCCGTGGCAGTGAGGGAGCAGTGAGTCCCCCACAAGGAACTCACTGAAGCAAAACAAGAAACAAGACATAAACTCATCATTAAAAGACAAGACCTCAGGTCTCTGTCCTGAAGTCTTCTCACATTAGTCCTGGTCTCAGGTCTCTGTCCTGAAGTCCTCTCACATTAGTCCTGGTCTCAGGTCTCTGTCCTGAAGTCTTCTCACATTAGTCCTGGTCTCAGGTCTCTGTCCTGAAGTCCTCTCACATTAGTCCTGGTCTCAGGTCTCTGTCCTGAAGTCCTCTCACATTAGTCCTGGTCTCAGGTCTCTGTCCTGAAGTCCTCTCACATTAGTCCTGGTCTCAGGTCTCTGTCCTGAAGTCCTCTCACATTAGTCCTGGTCTCAGGTCTCTGTCCTGAAGTCCTCTCACATTAGTCCTGGTCTCAGGTCTCTGTCCTGAAGTCCTCTCACATTAGTCCTGGTCTCAGGTCTCTGTCCTGACGTCCTCTCACATTAGTCCTGGTCTCAGGTCTCTGTCCTGAAGTCCTCTCACATTAGTCCTGGTCTCAGGTCTCTGTCCTGAAGTCCTCTCACATTAGTCCTGGTCTCAGGTCTCTGTCCTGAAGTCATCTCACATTAGTCCTGGTCTCAGGTCTCTGTCCTGAAGTCCTCTCACATTAGTCCTGGTCTCAGGTCTCTGTCCTGAAGTCCTCTCACATTAGTCCTGGTCTCAGGTCTCTGTCCTGAAGTCCTCTCACATTAGTCCTGGTCTCAGGTCTCTGTCCTGAAGTCCTCTCACATTAGTCCTGGTCTCAGGTCTCTGTCCTGAAGTCATCTCACATTAGTCCTGGTCTCAGGTCTCTGTCCTGAAGTCCTCTCACATTAGTCCTGGTCTCAGGTCTCTGTCCTGAAGTCCTCTCACATTAGTCCTGGTCTCAGGTCTCTATCCTGAAGTCCTCTCACATTAGTCCTGGTCTCAGGTCTCTGTCCTGAAGTCCTCTCACATTAGTCCTGGTCTCAGGTCTCTGTCCTGAAGTCCTCTCACATTAGTCCTGGTCTCAGGTCTCTGTCCTGAAGTCCTCTCACATTAGTCCTGGTCTCAGGTCTCAGTCCTGAAGTCCTCACACATTAGTCCTGGTCTCAGGTCTCTGTCCTGAAGTCCTCTCACATTAGTCCTGGTCTCAGGTCTCTGTCCTGAAGTCCTCTCACATTAGTCCTGGTCTCAGTCCTGAAGTCCTCACACATTAGTCCTGGTCTCAGGTCTCTGTCCTGAAGTCCTCTCACATTAGTCCTGGTCTCAGGTCTCTGTCCTGAAGTCCTCTCACATTAGTCCTGGTCTCAGGTCTCTGTCCTGAAGTCCTCTCACATTAGTCCTGGTCTCTGTCCTGAAGTCCTCTCACATTAGTCCAGGTCTCAGGTCTCTGTCCTGAAGTCCTCTCACATTAGTCCTGGTCTCAGGTCTCTGTCCTGAAGTCCTCTCACATTAGTCCTGGTCTCAGGTCTCTGTCCTGAAGTCCTCTCACATTAGTCCTGGTCTCAGGTCTCTGTCCTGAAGTCCTCTCACATTAGTCCTGGTCTCAGGTCTCTGTCCTGAAGTCCTCTCACATTAGTCCTGGTCTCAGGTCTCTGTCCTGAAGTCCTCTCACATTAGTCCTGGTCTCAGGTCTCTGTCCTGAAGTCCTCTCACATTAGTCCTGGTCTCAGGTCTCTGTCCTGAAGTCCTCTCACATTAGTCCTGGTCTCAGGTCTCTGTCCTGAAGTCCTCTCACATTAGTCCTGGTCTCAGGTCTCTGTCCTGAAGTCCTCTCACATTAGTCCTGGTCTCTGTCCTGAAGTCCTCTCACATTAGTCCTGGTCTCAGGTCTCTGTCCTGAAGTCCTCTCACATTAGTCCTGGTCTCAGGTCTCTGTCCTGACGTCCTCTCACATTAGTCCTGGTCTCAGGTCTCTGTCCTGAAGTCCTCTCACATTAGTCCTGGTCTCGGGTCTCTGTCCTGACGTCCTCTCACATTAGTCCTGGTCTCAGGTCTCTGTCCTGAAGTCCTCTCACATTAGTCCTGGTCTCAGGTCTCTGTCCTGAAGTCCTCTCACATTAGTCCTGGTCTCAGGTCTCTGTCCTGAAGTCCTCTCACATTAGTCCTGGTCTCAGGTATTTGGCTTTGTGTGATTATTTTTATGTTCTTTGAACTGGTCCTATCTGGTCCTAACTGGTCCTAACTGGTCCTAACTGGTCCTAACTGGTCCTAACTGGTCCTAACTGGTCCTAACTGGTCGGGTGTCGTGTGTTTCAGGTCCCGCCTCCTCTCATCATGGACGGGTGAGTGTCTGACCTGGAGCTGTGTTTAGACTCAAACCCTTTTGATCAAAATCTAGATAATTGATTATTGATGTTCCTCACACTGAAGACGACATTTAGAAGCATGGCTAATCACAACTAACTCAATCACTTAGGAGCATGCCTAACCACAACTAACTCAATCACTTAGAAGCATGGCTAACCACACCTAACTGAAGAACTTAGAAGCATGGCTAATCACAACTAGATTAGATTAGATTAGATTCAACTTTATTGTCATTACAAAGTCAGAACAATGCAACAAAATGCAGTTTAGCGTCTAACCAGTTGTGCACACACATCTGCAAACATGAGACTGTACAAGCTTTTCTGAAAAGGATCCTGATACCAGTGAGGACAGATCTGGACCTGCACTTGGTCCACATTGTCTACATGGTCCACATGGTCCACATTGTCCACATGGTCCACATTGTCTACATGGTCCACATGGCTCACATGGTCCGCATTGTCTATATGGTCCACATTGTCTACATGGTCCACATGGTCTACATGGTCCACATGGTCTACATGGTCCACATGGGCCGCATTGTCTATATGGTCCACATTGTCTACATGGTCCATATGGCCCACATGGTCCGCATTGTCTATATGGTCCACATTGTCTACATGGTCCACATGGTCTACATGGTCCACATGGTCCACATGGTCCACATGGTCCACATTGTCCACATGGTCCACATGGTCCACACGGTCCACATGGTCCACATTGTCTACATGGTCCACATGGCCCACATGGTCCGCATTGTCTATATGATCCACATTGTCTACATGATCCACATGGTCTACATGGTCTACATGGTCCACATGGTCCACATGGTCCTGTCTCCGCAGAGAGGACGACAAACACTCAGTGGACATCCACGACAATCCTCCGCAGCCGGACAACTTTGTGAAGGAGGACGGAGGAGACACGGTGAGGGTTTGGTCAGAGGGAGCAGCGTCTACAGTCAGAGCTCCCCTCCCTCACCTCCTGCTCTGCTCCTGGTTGCAGGTGTACTTCATCTACGAGGAGGAGGTGGAGGTGGAGGAGAAGGATCCGGAGCCGCCTTCGGAGCCCGTTCGAATGATCAACGACAAACCGCACAAGTTCAAAGATCACTACTGCAAGAAACCCAAGTTCTGCGACGTGTGCGCACGCATGATAGTGTGTAGGTATACACAACATACACACACACACACAACACACACACACACACGCATGATAGTGTGTAGGTATACACAACATACACACACACACACAACACACACACACACACGCATGATAGTGTGTAGGTATACACAACATACACACACACACACACACGCATGATAGTGTGTAGGTATATACACAACATACACACACACACACACACGCATGATAGTGTGTAGGTATACACAACACACACACACACAACACACACACACATGATAGTGTGTAGGTATACACAACACACACACACGCATGATAGTGTGTAGGTATACACAACATACACACACACACACAACCACACACACACACACGCATGATAGTGTGTAGGTATACACAACATACACACACACAACACACACACACACGCATGATAGTGTGTAGGTATACACAACATACACACACACACACAACACACACACACACACGCATGATAGTGTGTAGGTATACACAACATACACACACACACACAACACACACACACACACGCATGATAGTGTGTAGGTATACACAACATACACACACACACACACACGCATGATAGTGTGTAGGTATACACAACATACACACACACACACACACGCATGATAGTGTGTAGGTATACACAACACACACACACACAACACACACACACACATGATAGTGTGTAGGTATACACAACACACACACACGCATGATAGTGTGTAGGTATACACAACATACACACACACACACAACACACACACACACACGCATGATAGTGTGTAGGTATACACAACATACACACACACAACACACACACACACGCATGATAGTGTGTAGGTATACACAACATACACACACACACACAACACACACACGCATGATAGTGTGTAGGTATACACAACACACACACACGTATGATAGTGTGTAGGTATACACAACATACACACACACACACAACACACACACGCATGATAGTGTGTAGGTATACACAACGACACACGCATGATAGTGTGTAGGTATACACAACACACACACACACAACACAACACACACACACACAAACACACACACACGCATGATAGTGTGTAGGTATACACAACACACACACAACACACGCATGATAGTGTGTAGGTATACACAACACACACACACTCATGATAGTGTGTAGGTACACACAACACACACACACACATGCATGATAGTGTGTAGGTACACACAACACACACACACACACGCATGATAGTGTGTAGGTACACACAAAACACACACACACATGCATGATAGTGTGTAGGTACACACAACACACACACACACACACACGCATGATAGTGTGTAGGTATACACAACACACACACACACGGATGATAGTGTGTAGGTACACACAAAACACACACACGGATGATAGTGTGTAGGTACACACAAAACACACACACGCATGATAGTGTGTAGGTATACACAAAACACACACACGGATGATAGTGTGTAGGTACACACAAAACACACACACGCATGATAGTGTGTAGGTATGCACAATACAATACAATGTATTCTTGTATAGCCCTAGGTCACAACAGAAGTCATCTCAGAGACTTAACAAAACCATTGAAATCACCAACACAGGTCAGAGAATCAACAGTTAAAACACATGAAGAATATAAAGCACACACAGAAGAAAATGTCCATACATGTTGTAGAATGCTAAAGTGTCCTGATCATCACCAATCCTTTCTGTTGGACACTAACTGTCCAACAAGACCCTCCTGCATCGACAAGGAACAACTCTTAAAAAACCCAGTGGGAAAAAGTGAGAAACCTTGGGGAGAACTAGGGAACACACTCACCCACTTCCTTTTGATGCTCACTTCCTGTTGATGCCCACTTCCTGTTGATGCCCACTTCCTGTTGATGCCCACTTCCTGTTGCTGCCCACTTCATTTTTCTGCCCACTTCCGGGGGGCATGGTGGCTGATAGCACTCTCGCCTCTCAGCAAGAAGGTCCTGGGTTCGAATCCCGGTCGGACCAGGGCCTTTCTGAGTGGAGTTTGCATGTTCTCCCCGTGTCTGCGTAGGTTTCCTCCGGGTACTCCGGTTTCCCCTACCACTAAAAATATGTACAATAGGTCTGGCATGCGCCTCCTGTTCGGCGACCCCGCTCCCATCTCTGTGTGAAGTGAGAGACAAATGCCCAAAAATAACAATTGTAAACTGCTTTGAGACTCTGGTCTGTGAAAGGTGGTATATAAATAAAGATTACTTACTTCCTGTTTCTGCCCACTTCCTGTGGCTGCCCACTTCCTGTTTCTTCCCACTTCCTGTTGCTGCCCACTTCCTGTTGCTGCCCACTTCCTGTTGCTGCACACTTCCTGTTGCTGCCCACTTCCTGTTGCTGCCCACTTCCTGTTGCTGCCCACTTCCTGTTGCTGCACACTTCCTGTCTGCCGACCCATGTGACCATGATGTTTCTTCTGTGTTTCAGTGAATAACAAGTTCGCACTGCGCTGTAAAAACTGTAAAACCAACATCCACCACAGCTGCCAGAGCTACGTGGAGTTCCAGCACTGCTTTGGCAAGATCGTGAGTTAACGACCTGAGTTTAACGACCCGAGTTTAACGACCTGAGTTTAACGACCCGAGTTTAACGACCTGAGTTTAACGACCTGAGTTTAACGACCTGAGTTTAACGACCCGAGTTTAACGACCCGAGTTTAACGACCTGAGTTTAACGACCTGAGTTTAACGACCTGAGTTTAACGACCCGAGTTTAACGACCTGAGTTTAACGACCTGAGTTTAACGACCAGAGATTAACGACCCGAGTTTAACGACCTGAGTTTAACGACCTGAGTTTAACGACCAGAGATTAACGACCCGAGTTTAACGACCTGAGTTTAACGACCTGAGTTTAACGACCAGAGATTAATGACCTGAGTTTAACGACCTGAGTTTAACGACCTGAGTTTAACGACCCGAGTTTAACGACCTGAGTTTAACGACCCGAGTTTAACGACCTGAGTTTAACGACCTGAGTTTAACGACCCGAGTTTAACGACCTGAGTTTAACGACCTGAGTTTAACGACCTGAGTTTAACGACCCGAGTTTAACGACCTGAGTTTAACGACCTGAGTTTAACGACCAGAGATTAATGACCTGAGTTTAACGACCTGAGTTTAACGACCTGAGTTTAACGACCCGAGTTTAACGACCTGAGTTTAACGACCCGAGTTTAACGACCCGAGTTTAACGACCTGAGTTTAACGACCTGAGTTTAACGACCTGAGTTTAACGACCTGAGTTTAACGACCTGAGTTTAACGACCTGAGTTTAACGACCCGAGTTTAACGACCTGAGTTTAACGACCTGAGTTTAACGACCTGAGTTTAACGACCTGAGTTTAACGACCCGAGTTTAACAACCTTAGTTTAACGACCCGAGTTTAACGACCCGAGTTTAACGACCTGAGTTTAACGACCTGAGTTTAACGACCTGAGTTTAACGACCTGAGTTTAACGACCAGAGATTAATGACCTGAGTTTAACGACCTGAGTTTAACGACCTGAGTTTAACGACCCGAGTTTAACGACCCGAGTTTAACGACCCGAGTTTAACGACCCGAGTTTAACGACCTGAGTTTAACGACCTGAGTTTAACGACCTGAGTTTAACGACCCAAGTTTAACGACCTGAGTTTAACGACCTGAGTTTAACGACCTGAGTTTAACGACCCGAGTTTAACAACCTGAGTTTAACGACCTGAGTTTAACGACCAGAGATTAACAACCCGAGTTTAACGACCTGAGTTTAACGACCAGAGATTAATGACCTGAGTTTAACGACCTGAGTTTAACGACCAGAGATTAATGACCTGAGTTTAACGACCTGAGTTTAACGACCAGAGATTAACGACCCGAGTTTAACGACCTGAGTTTAACGACCCGAGTTTAACGACCTGAGTTTAACGACCTGAGTTTAACGACCTGAGTTTAACGACCCGAGTTTAACGACCTGAGTTTAACGACCTGAGTTTAACGACCTGAGTTTAACGACCCGAGTTTAACGACCTGAGTTTAACGACCTGAGTTTAACGACCTGAGTTTAACGACCTGAGTTTAACGACCTGAGTTTAACGACCTGAGTTTAACGACCCGAGTTTAACGACCCGAGTTTAACGACCCGAGTTTAACGACCTGAGTTTAACGACCTGAGTTTAACGACCTGAGTTTAACGACCCGAGTTTAACGACCTGAGTTTAACGACCTGAGTTTAACGACCCGAGTTTAACGACCTGAGTTTAACGACCTGAGTTTAACGACCAGAGATTAACAACCTTAGTTTAACGACCCGAGTTTAACGACCTGAGTTTAACGACCTGAGTTTAACGACCAGAGATTAATGACCTGAGATTAACGACCTGAGTTTATGACCTGAGTTTAACAACCTGAGTTTCAGCCTCCAGGGTTTAGACGCGCCTACAGCTCTCCTCTGTACAGCAGCGACATCCCAGACCCCAGTGAGTAACACACACACACACACACACACAGACACACACAGACACACACACAGACACTCACACACACACAGACACACACAGACACACACACACACACACACACACAGACACACAGACACTCACACACACAGAGACACACACACACAGACACTCACACACACAGACACACACACACCCTGACACACACACGCACTGACACACCTGTTTCCATGGCGACGGCAGATAACCTGAACAGGAACGACCCGGTGTTCGACACGCTCAGAGTGGGCGTCATCATGGCCAACAAGGAACGCAAGAAGGGAGACAACGACAAGAAGAACGTGAGCTGTGATTGGCTGTTCAGTGTGACATCATCACTTTAAAGCTGGGCTCCCTAACTTTCACACCACAACAATAGAACTCTGTATGAAACCCATGTCCTGCCTCTCAGCCAATCAGCTCTCAGACATTTGACTGTTGGAACAAACAGATGAGTCTGAAGTTGGGGACCTCAGCTTTAATGGCACCAATAGTTTCTCTTACTTTAACGTGTGTGTGTGTGTGTCTGTCTGTGTGTGTGTGTGTGTGTGTGTGTGTGTCTGTGTGTGTGTGTGTGTGTGTGTGTGTGTGTGTCTGTGTGTGTGTGTGTGTCTGTGTCTGTCTGTGTGTGTCTGTCTGTGTGTGTGTGTGTGTGTGTCTGTCTGTGTGTGTGTGTGTGTGTGTGTGTGTGTGTCTGTCTGTGTGTGTGTCTGTGTGTGTCTGTGCGTGTGTCTGTGTGTGTGTGTGTGTGTGTCTGTCTGTGTGTGTGTCTGTGTGTGTCTGTGCGTGTGTCTGTGTGTGTGTGTGTGTGTCTGTCTGTGTGTGTGTCTGTGTGTGTCTGTGTGTGTGTGTGTCTGTCTCTGTGTGTCTGTCTCTGTGTGTGTGTGTCTGTCTCTGTGTGTGTGTGTGTGTGTGTGTCTGTGTGTGTGTGTGTCTGTGTGTCTGTGTGTGTGTCTGTCTGTGTCTGTGTGTGTGTGTGTGTGTCTGTCTGTGTGTGTGTCTGTGTGTGTCTGTCTGTGTGTGTCTGTCTCTGTGTGTCTGTCTCTGTGTGTGTGTGTCTGTCTCTGTGTGTGTGTGTGTGTGTGTGTCTGTGTGTGTGTGTGTCTGTGTGTCTGTGTGTGTGTCTGTCTGTGTCTGTGTGTGTGTGTGTGTGTGTAGATCATGATGATGGAGGAGGAGGAGGAGGAGAACCAGCAACCCAAGGAGAACGAGGAGGGAGGAGACGGTCAGTGCCATGCTCCAACTGGCATCAGTCCTGGCCCTGGCCCTGGCCCTGGCCTTGGTCCTAGTCCTGGCCCTGGCCCTGGCCCTGGCCTTGGTCCTAGTCCTGGCCCTGGCCTTGGTCCTAGTCCTGGCCCTGGCCTTGGTCCCTATTCCTGGCCCTGGCCTTGGTCCTAGTCCTGGCCCTGGCCTTGGTCCTAGTCCTGGCCCTGGCCTTGGTCCCTATTCCTGGCCCTGGCCTTGGTCCTAGTCCTGGCCCTGGCCCTGGCCCTGGCCTTGGTCCTAGTCCTGGCCCTGGCCCTGGCCCTGGCCTTGGTCCTAGTCCTGGCCCTGGCCTTGGTCCTAGTCCTGGCCCTGGCCTTGGTCCCTATTCCTGGCCCTGGCCTTGGTCCTAGTCCTGGCCCTGGCCCTGGCCCTGGCCTTGGTCCTGGCCCTGGTCCTAGACCTGGTCTGTAACTGAAATGTGAATTTCCTGTTGCAGGAAAACCTGATGACAAAAAGGACAAAGGCGGAGACAAAGCTGACGATAAGGTCTGAGACTTTCTGAGGTTCTTGATCTGGACCTGGTCCTGGTCCTGGTCCCGGTGTTCTGGGAGTTGGTCTGCCTCAGCTGTTTATGATGTAATGCTAACAACTTCAACGCTGTAAGTTGTTTACAGTTTGGTATTTGTTCTTTTTAAGGCAGTGTACAGCAAGTATTTAGTCAGACAATCCCACTCTCAAACGGCAATTTATGTGTAATGAGCAGTTGTCACCTGTAGAGGGCAGTATTGTGTTGGGCATCAGTGGAGAGAAGAGAGAAAAGGCAGTCCTGTGGCATAGATCCATGGTTTTCAATGCATGGGCGTAAACCGCTGTGACGTCACACACAGGTTAGAGCATAGACAGCTTACATTCATGAAAAACACCTTCTTTTTATAAAAGAATCTATTTCAGATCAACATTGTCATGCAATTTTGAAATCCACAATTATTTTTTTTTAAACCCGGCATAAGGTCTTTAAACCAAACTTTACACAAAACTTTGATTCTTAAAACCCAGATATAACATGGAACCATCAACATCTCGCCTCAAAATGCATTAAAAGTGACATTCGTGTCTTTATTTGTTGGTATTTAAACTTTTTACACAACTCTGTGTCCGCCATCTTGGATTGCTTCGGCTGCCGTGAGAAGTGCGTGCGCAGGTTAGCATTACATCATAACCAGCTGAGGCAGACCAACTCCCAGAACACCAGCCCTGGTCCTCACACATGGTTGTGTTTCCTCACACATGGTTGTGTTTCCTCACACATGGTTGTGTTTCCTCACACATGGTTGTGTTTCCTCACACATGGTTGTGTTTCCAGACAAAGGCGTTCTCTCAGACGCACTACTATCTGGCTCTGTATCGCTTCAAGGCCATCGAGAAGGACGACCTGGACTTTCAGTCAGTCACACACCATCAACACACCATCAAGCATCACACCATCAAGACACACACACACACACCTTTGAAATAACAGTAACACATCATTATGTTTGTGATACTGTACACTGACCATGTGACTGACCATGTGACTGACCATGACCATGTGACTGACCATGTGACTGACCATGTGACTGACCATGACCATGTGACTGACCATGTGACTGACCATGTGACTGACCATGACCATGTGACTGACCATGTGACTGACCATGTGACTGACCATGACCATGTGACTGACCATGTGACTGACCATGTGACTGACCATGACCATGTGACTGACCATGTGACTGACCATGTGACTGACCATGACCATGTGACTGACCATGTGACTGACCATGACCATGTGACTGACCATGTGACTGACCATGTGACTGACCATGACCATGTGACTGACCATGTGACTGACCATGACCATGTGACTGACCATGTGACTGACCATGACCATGTGACTGACCATGTGACTGACCATGTGACTGACCATGTGACTGACCATGACCATGTGACTGACCATGACCATGTGACTGACCATGTGACTGACCATGTGACTGACCATGACCATGTGACTGACCATGTGACTGACCATGTGACTGACCATGTGACTGACCATGACCATGTGACTGACCATGTGACTGTTGCAGTCCTGGAGACCGGATCACTGTTCTGGACGACTCCAACGAGGAGTGGTGGAGGGTGAGTCTCTCTCCTCCTGGTCTCTCTCCTCCTGGTCTCTCTCCTCACACGCTCTCTCTCTTCTTGGTCTCTCTCCTCTGGTCTCTCTCCTCTGGTCTCTCTCCTCACACGCTCTCTCTCTCCTCTGGTCTCTCTCCTCTGGTCTCTCTCCTCACACGCTCTCTCTCTTCTTGGTCTCTCTCCTCTGGTCTCTCTCCTCACACGCTCTCTCTCTTCTTGGTCTCTCTCCTCACACGCTCTCTCTCTCCTCTGGTCTCTCTCCTCTGGTCTCTCTCCTCACACGCTCTCTCTCTTCTTGGTCTCTCTCCTCTGGTCTCTCTCCTCTGGTCTCTCTCCTCACACGCTCTCTCTCTTCTTGGTCTCTCTCCTCTGGTCTCTCTCCTCACACGCTCTCTCTCTCCTCTGGTCTCTCTCCTCACACGCTCTCTCTCTTCTTGGTCTCTCTCCTCTGGTCTCTCTCCTCACACGCTCTCTCTCCTCTGGTCTCTCTCCTCACACGCTCTCTCTCTTCTTGGTCTCTCTCTCTTCTTGGTCTCTCTCCTCTGGTCTCTCTCCTCTGGTCTCTCTCCTCACACGCTCTCTCTCTCCTCTGGTCTCTCTCCTCACACGCTCTCTCTCTTCTTGGTCTCTCTCCTCTGGTCTCTCTCCTCACACGCTCTCTCTCTTCTTGGTCTCTCTCCTCACACGCTCTCTCTCTCCTCTGGTCTCTCTCCTCACACGCTCTCTCTCTTCTTGGTCTCTCTCCTCTGGTCTCTCTCCTCTGGTCTCTCTCCTCACACGCTCTCTCTCCTCCTGGTCTCTCTCCTCACACGCTCTCTCTCTTCTTGGTCTCTCTCCTCTGGTCTCTCTCCTCACACGCTCTCTCTCTTCTTGGTCTCTCTCCTCACACGCTC